CTTTTAACCTATCCATTACACACGTGTTTTTGTCAACGAGGTTTTTCAACATCTCGGGCAATTTAAATCATGTGTCAGACCTTACTACTTACCAGTTGGTGAATACGGATTCTTCCATAAGCATTCGTCAAAAACACGAAAAGCACTATTAAAGAATCAATTAGTCCATCCGTTTATATCGTTCGTACTGTCCCACTCGTGTCTCCTAAGAAAAGCTTGAAGTCACTGATTGAGACCATTCGAACGAGTATATTATCCAACTCCCATATATCAGTGCTTGAGTGATAGCTGTCAGTTCATCAAAGTATCGCGAGTGGCTGAGTTGTGTTTTACAAGAATTAATCCGGAAGTGAATTCACACTACGCTCAGTGGTGAGTATCCCGAAAAAGGATGGTATAAAACTCGTTTACTTGAATGTGTCTGATCCCTTCTAGCTTTAATCCGACACATCGGTACACAATCAAAGCAGGTGTGCTGTGACTGCTTCGACTATGCACCGGAACAAATAAAAATACTGTCAGTTTCACTCCCTGACCGATAAACAGTGGCCTTAAGGGTGTTGCAATAGTTCACCTTATCACTACTCTGGAGTTGCTACAAGCTACAGCACTAGAAGTCCAGATTTGCATTTTCATGTAAAGAAACGAATATTTCTAAACATCATCATCATTGTCAGTTGTAATAACGGCATACTTGTGGTACTGTGGTTGTAGCTGCCACGGTTTCCTTCACCGATGATTCGGGGAGATGAGGTAGGTAGCTGCGCATTGGAGGCGGGAGCTGATAAATTAGTGCGTGGATACAGCACTGTAGGTGGACTGTTAAGTAGGTAAATTGGGAAGGGAGCTACGCATTGAAGGCAATAGCTTGGACGCCTGAGCGCCATTGAGGGCGCGACTGGGTCATGTCTCTAGCCATTGATGTAGCCCACTCGGGGTCCCCATCCAGGAAGACGGCAATGACCAGCGCAGCTGAGTTTGCTGCGTAGTTTGTTTTCTCATATCATGTCACAGTACTTTGTTCCCACACCAATTTGGTTCTTTCGATGCGATCTGTACACAACCGAAAGCCGGCCTTTAATACTCCACATTCGATTCACAGAATCTGATATCACGTCGTGACACACTTTGACCCTCAAAAGTAGATGTCCTTCATAGCTGCTGGATATAGAAAAATCAGCTGTCGTCAACACCATTGCCGAACGTCCAGAAGTTACCCCGTAAATCAAGCAAGTCACCTTCGTGTGGTTAAGACACCTCTTATTCCATCCCTAAGCATATTTGTCTGTAAAATGACCCCGCTTTCTATTCCCTGACGAAGATTTCAGCTTCAGTTCCTACTGTTATATTGATGGTTGATGGCTGCCTCAGTGACTGGTCACTTTGCTTCACCTGTTCAAGATCCATTCATGAGCGGTAAGCAAGCTATTGGTGGTGATGAATATTCTGATCAGATAGTTTAGTTGTTGACACTGATTAGGAGAATCGAAGCATCACATACATACATCCAATAGATCCTGCATATTGAAATGTTCCCATTTGCGTTGTTGGGCGTGAAAATCACATTTGATGATCCTTCCACTTTTGGTATGAGCTGCACTGGCGTAGCTCAGCGAGATCCGTCGCTGAATCGAGTGGCTGAAGCTTGAGATTTCTAGTCATCATCTAGAAATTCTTGTTTCTAGGCTGTGGTTCGTAGGATACAGGAATAGTGAACTCACTCATCATCGGCTTGTTTTGGGAGCAGTTCGGAAGATAGGGTGGAGCAACAATATTTTCATGAATGATGATACAAGTGACTAACTTTTGCCTTACATCAGGTCGGTTGGGCGTCTAGTTGCGACATGACCGTAAACGATGATGTGATGAGACAATGGACTGCGATATAGTCCACAGTAACGTCACCTGGAGCTTCAGTCGAAGCATATGATGGAAATCCTGTAATGTTCCAAGGCCTGTGAACCAAAATTGCAAAGTGACTGGCGTGGTACTCTCCTAGCGAGTAGTCAACTGAGGTAAACGACCCTTTAGGAACATCCAACTCACTTCCATACGCCATAAATGGTGATCATCCGAAATGCATGCTTCTCACTGGTAGCGTATCATACACACATCGAAATAACACTTGAATTCTTCGCACATGCAAAAAATCTGGTGAGATGGATTAAGCACGGCGTGTGAACTTCGGGAGTTTATTAAAATAATTTTCACAGAGAAATCCAAGCGACAAATTCCTAGGCTCAACAAAAGTGTAAAGCATTTTAATGATTCATCCGCATGTTCATAACTATTGTGGACGGGATTTCACGGATAATAGTAATGAAACCTTAGATTCACTGCAAGAGGTACGCATGGAGACAGATAGGACTTCAGTGGTAACATAATTTTATTCAGTCATCCTGCTGCATGCAGCAGATGGGTCGCACAGGCTGATATAACAAAGTGAGTTGTTGAGGCAACTTTTGCTCGTGTGATAATCAGCATACTGCCCGGGTACCCAGGAACCGAATAACAGATTTTTAGCGTCGGTGCACATCTCATACATAAATATATGTAGTGCATTTGGTACATCCTGCCCAAAACTCAAAAAGAGGGCAGCGTATTCGTCTAACTCGTTGGTCCAAAACGTGCAATCGCGACCTCCCAGGGTGTTTAATTCCACAGCTACTTGTGGTAGCTCAGCGGAATATTAATTTCACTAGACGAGTGAAACTCACATCTGAGAAATTGTCACACGGGCAGCAGGTGAACACGAGACCATTAGATGTAGACTTTATGGTTGAGGGATGAGTGGCGCCCTGTTCTGTCCAAATGTGAGTCAGTCATATTGCTGACCAGCCGGTAATGATCGGCCGGGAGTTTGTGAGTCCGGAACCCCGTGGAGTTTCGTGAGAAGCGCAACGCTGACTATTCCCATTAGAGATGAAATTAGAGATGAGATTTCTAACCTTTAGGTTAGAAATGATTGCCTAAGTAGAGTGAATGTCCCTTGTTCATGCAAGTTCACACAATTGAATGCAATCATCTGTCGATTCGTGTTCTGTCACCGACAGGGGTCGCAGCTGTGGCTGTTTATGCAACGGCGGATTCAGGCGAGGAAACAACAACAACAACAGCAAATGGACTGGCAATAGCAACCATATATTGATCAACAAAGGACAACAGTCGCACCCTTCGAGATCCTCGTATAACAACTTAGGGTCTTGGCAAAATCACGGAAGATGATCACATAAGAACCACCCCTTAAAGGTACTTAAAAAAAGGGAAATACACGAATTCAAATAATCCGGAGTCAATGGTGTCTCATTTCAGTCTGGTATCACATTGAATACGTACGCGTTCGTTTCAATTGGGCATTCGAATAGAAGTAGGTTTGCGAAACTTTCGTTCATTTTGATGGGCAAATCTTGCTTTGCTCGAAAGGGGTACATAAAGTAAAACCTTGTAAGTCCCTTGTGGACTTAACATCGAAATCGTCACAACAAAGGGCACCCAGCTAAAGCACATAAGGAATACGAAGCGCCACCGCGAGGTGAATAGAGACTGCGTCCGTGCTCGGCGGACCTTTCATCATTTGATTTGCTTCAGTACTTCTTGTTGAACGAGTTCTGACTGCGAACGAGACAACAGCACTAAGTTGACACAAACCAAGACTGTCCTTGGACTGTTTTATTTAAGTGACCGAGAATGCGCTGAAGTGAAATGATGGATGAGCGTTTTCAGCGCATCAAGAATTTTTATTCGTGAGCAGAGATACATCTAACCCAAGCAGACATGACCTTTTCCCAAGTCTTGAGACAGATTGCCTGGATGGGAGCGGCTTGTGCTAGGGTACAGACAGTCATCAATATGACTACTCAATGTTCGAAACAAGTAGATGCGGATGCAACGAAAAAACATTTGATATCTTCGACATCATGGATAAGATGATAATTTTGCTACGCTGCATTTACGCTTCGTTAAAAGCCTAGAGTGGTAAAATACCTGCTGCCGGTTACTCGACCGTCTCCATCAATGTGAGGAATTATCGGGTTTACGGAACAGGCGCACACGCGTGACACAATCTAAGCCAGCGTGGATATGCCCATGAATATGGTGCAAGCATCGTATAGAGCTAGGTTCGAAGCAGCTTTACTTTATGCAGACAATCATCTGACTGCTGTTGATTGGTCATCGATCCTCGCGGAGGACCTGATAATTACCAAACCATGGGTTTCACTTTTGCCGGATAGCAAAGACTTGGTCGGATACCGAAAGGCTCAACCACACAAGCGATTTCGTCCCTGTTGTGATTCAGGTAAACGCACTCCGGATATTCACCCGCGCTTAGGTTATGGTTGGACCAAACTCACTTGAAATACACTAGCTGTGTAAACTAACCGACGAAAACCTGGTACAGTGTGCGGACACGGAGTTCTTAATCCGAAGCTCATGTGTCCTATCCTTCTGCGCCTAATTGATGGACATGAATAAGGATAAAAGCGTTCGGCGTCTGACTACAACTTTGTAATGTGTAGCTGATCTTGGGTTCCAACATTTATATGCACACCTCCCGTGTAGAGGGAAAACGATGAGATATTTATGTCTAAGCCCTTGACCGGGGAAAACAGTGTACTGAGGTTGACCCGTTTTCGGATATTACATTCAGCCACTGGGCTTTACTCACCACTGAATCTAAGACAGTTGATGTTCACTCGACCCAGGTTGAACCACGGTAGTCTGCAGGTCATTGACACAAACTACAGAGATGCGAAAGTGAACAGATACGACACAGAAGTCCGAGGACTAAATCAGAATGATAACTGCAGTGTGTCATGATCACGTCTAGGCCTGTGGTCGACTGAGAACCGGAAGTCGAAAAGCTTAGTTTATGAGAAGATAGCCAACACCGTTATCTTCTGAAAGCCAGTGTAGGGTGATGCGATACAAGATGTCGAGGTTCGTCTTATGGAGATACGATGCATTCTAGAGGTGCACGACCCAACTGTGTGTGGTACACTGATTATCGGAAAAAGCAGCATCGATCTGGTTTATGGGTAAAAGAAGCTGCTATTCACAGTCTGGATGCCTTAGAAGGCAATAAAGGCTAAGCAAGAAACAAACAATGGGACTGCGGAATTCGCAGTCAAACTGGTGTCGGTCGTCCAAGGACAGGAAATCAACATAATTATGCAAGCAGAATCAATAAACGAGGAAGAAATGAATGTGCTGTTCTCGAATGAGGGGATAGAGGGTAAAAACGGTAAAGTACGATCGTACGAAGCAATAAGCATTCTAGCTGGTCGTAACGTACGTGGTGACAAATAGCAATCTGTGAGATAATGTGAGAAGCGTATCGCAGAGCAGCCAGTTCATGCGTCCAGGATCACAGCGTCAAAAAGTGGTTGTGTGACAGCGAATTGCAAGTATGCCACACAGAAACCGGATGGTAAACGTGGTGTCAATGTAACGGTGCCGATGATGTGGAAACAGATTTGGAGGTAGCATGTACGTAAACGCACATGGCAACGCAACACAGCGACTGGATCCTTCACATGCGTGTTGGCCAAAAAGGAACATTCTGGTTTATCCCAGTGGGCCCATATCCCATGTTGCTAGATGGGTGGAACGGAGCCATGTATTCACACAGCGCGCCAATGCTTGAGCACGTGCCTGAAAGAATGTGAAAGCCATTGATTTTCCAGGAGAGCGAAACGTTCTTGATTGAGAAACAAGGGTTTCCCGCGCCTGTAGGACAAGAATTTAGGGGTAGGTTGATAAGAATATCGAAGTTAGCACGGGTAACAGAGAGAACCGATGTAATAGCTGGTAACTTGTCTCGAAAAAACGGTTTCCAATCCTATCCACAATTTTCAGAAGGGCAAACTTAATAACGCGTTCCACACTTCATGAATCAAACCTGCCCTGAAATAGAAAACAACACTCTACTAGCACCACACATCCGTAAATTGCTCATAAGGTGTCCTGAGTGGGGAAATGAAAACGATCGTGGGTTACCTGTCCAACGGCCCGGATTGGATACGCCCTAGGTAGGTTAAAGTTAGCAGTCGGACCCTGCCCTATTCCACAAGTAAGGGTGTTTTTAGGTGCTCAGTGTGTGTAAAACAGTCAAGCGTGACCCTATTCCGGCCACATTGACAGGTGTTGCTCCGCGACTATGGAAAAAAATCAAACACCCCTTCTAGAATTCGGTATCATATCTACTTTACACAGTTATTCTAGATGGTCATTATCCGAGTGCGTTTAGGTAGCACATTCATTAAACGCTCTTAGTGACTCGTAACAGTAAAATATAGCTATAGTATGGGCCGATGACGTTCATGCACCCATAATGTGTGCAGACAGAAGTTGGCCCGGAAAGCGGATTTGAGTAACACGGCAACGGTGGACGACCTTTTTGTGTGGCTGTCAGGCTATTCGTTTTTGAGAATGGCAGGACGCGTCCAGGCACGAAAAGTGCATGTGCGGAGAACGACGCGTCTTTGAGGTCATCATCAGAAAGCACTTTCCGGACGGAAGGTGCGTGGGTGGTGCTTAACAAGCACGGCTTGGCGGCATGCGACCAGCGAAGCCGGTGTGAAAATGTTCACAGCAGAAACGTCGCCATTGGCTGGACAAGAACTAACAAAGCGAGTGACCATAGTTGTCCATTCAGCCATCCTATATATTTACGCACTAGCTCAGTGCAGCCATGTTCCTAGTCTTCTTTCTTCTTATCTCGTAGTCCGCCAGGTTCAAGTCATGCGTAACCGATAGGCGGCCCCACGTTACAACAGGGAGCGTGTCGTTTCGGCTGGAAGAAAGTTTGGGGTATCCCACTTGATTGCCGCAACTTGCATACGTCTTAGTGAAAGGTATGAAAGATTACAAACATTTGAAGCATTCACTCCCGTTAAAGTCAGAATATCCATGTCCAACAAAAATTCCCGCCGACCTGGTACATCGTTGGTACAAACTACTTCTCTTCCCAAAGGAAACATCCCGGCTGATGAGACAAGATGTTTCTTCCTGGGGAAGCAATGTGCCACACAGAAACCGGATGGTAAACGTGGTGTTAATGTAACGGTGCCGATGATGTGGAAACAGATTTGGAGGTAGCATGTACGTAAACGCACATGGCAACGCAACACAGCGACTGGATCCTTCACATGCGTGTTGGCCAAAAAGGAACATTCTGGTTTATCCCAGTGGGCCCATATCCCATGTTGCTAGATGGGTGGAACGGAGCCATGTATTCACACAGCGCGCCAATGCTTGAGCACGTGCCTGAAAGAATGTGAAAGCCATTGATTTTCCAGGAGAGCGAAACGTTCTTGATTGAGAAACAAGGGTTTCCCGCGCCTGTAGGACAAGAATTTAGGGGTAGGTTGATAAGAATATCGAAGTTAGCACGGGTAACAGAGAGAACCGATGTAATAGCTGGTAACTTGTCTCGAAAAAACGGTTTCCAATCCTATCCACAATTTTCAGAAGGGCAAACTTAATAACGCGTTCCACACTTCATGAATCAAACCTGCCCTGAAATAGAAAACAACACTCTACTAGCACCACACATCCGTAAATTGCTCATAAGGTGTCCTGAGTGGGGAAATGAAAACGATCGTGGGTTACCTGTCCAACGGCCCGGATTGGATACGCCCTAGGTAGGTTAAAGTTAGCAGTCGGACCCTGCCCTATTCCACAAGTAAGGGTGTTTTTAGGTGCTCAGTGTGTGTAAAACAGTCAAGCGTGACCCTATTCCGGCCACATTGACAGGTGTTGCTCCGCGACTATGGAAAAAAATCAAACACCCCTTCTAGAATTCGGTATCATATCTACTTTACACAGTTATTCTAGATGGTCATTATCCGAGTGCGTTTAGGTAGCACATTCATTAAACGCTCTTAGTGACTCGTAACAGTAAAATATAGCTATAGTATGGGCCGATGACGTTCATGCACCCATAATGTGTGCAGACAGAAGTTGGCCCGGAAAGCGGATTTGAGTAACACGGCAACGGTGGACGACCTTTTTGTGTGGCTGTCAGGCTATTCGTTTTTGAGAATGGCAGGACGCGTCCAGGCACGAAAAGTGCACGTGCGGAGAACGACGCGTCTTTGAGGTCATCATCAGAAAGCACTTTCCGGACGGAAGGTGCGTGGGTGGTGCTTAACAAGCACGGCTTGGCGGCATGCGACCAGCGAAGCCGGTGTGAAAATGTTCACAGCAGAAACGTCGCCATTGGCTGGACAAGAACTAACAAAGCGAGTGACGTTGTCTGTCCATTCAGCCATCCTATATATTTACGCACTAGCTCAGTGCAGCCATGTTCCTAGTCTTCTTTCTTCTTATCTCGTAGCCAGGTTCAACAGAAACGTCGCCATTGGCTGGACAAGAACTAACAAAGCGAGTGACCATAGTTGTCCATTCAGCCATCCTATATATTTACGCACTAGCTCAGTGCAGCCATGTTCCTAGTCTTCTTTCTTCTTATCTCGTAGTCCGCCAGGTTCAAGTCATGCGTAACCGATAGGCGGCCCCACGTTACAACAGGGAGCGTGTCGTTTCGGCTGGAAGAAAGTTTGGGGTATCCCACTTGATTGCCGCAACTTGCATACGTCTTAGTGAAAGGTATGAAAGATTACAAACATTTGAAGCATTCACTCCCGTTAAAGTCAGAATATCCATGTCCAACAAAAATTCCCGCCGACCTGGTACATCGTTGGTACAAACTACTTCTCTTCCCAAAGGAAACATCCCGGCTGATGAGACAAGATGTTTCTTCCTGGGGAAGCAATGAATCACAACCCACTTGAAGATAGCACTGAAGGAGAGTGCTAGTGACAACAGAGTGATGTCTTATAGGCGTAAAGGAGATGAAATCGAGTAGAAGGACACCAGCTGCGTCTACATGATTACCGTGAAAATGTTAGCAAGTACCACTAATTGGTAACTCTATAAATAAAAGGTAAGGAAATCAAATAGTTTAGCTACAGGACTCTTCCAGGTTAGATCATGTCAGGTTGCCGAAAACTAGACTGGATCAGTAGAAGACTTAGAAACGATCATGAACCCTGCATTATTATATCAGTTGCTGACGTCACTATCTCCGTTCGTATGGACGGGATTTGGTGTAATGGTGGTATGTTATACGCTGTTTCTACACCACAACAGGTCCTTTTGAAAGAAAAGGATGGGTCTGAGCGGAAATCCATAATACGAAACTAGGACAGTCGCAAAAGTGTCCAAGGGTCAAAGATGGATTATTAGTTCTAGGAATGTGAAAACTTACTTAAGTTCAAGATCTTCCTCACCATACGCATCGAGGTAGACCGAGCCCCAATCACAGAAGTTTGGCCCAAGTGAGACGTAGACGATAGAAGTGTTGACTTCAAGCACAACACCCGCGAACCCTTCGCACGAATAGGCGTGCTATGCGGAACAGAGAAACAAGAGAAAACCGCCATGGTGAAGGTTAAGTTTGAGAAAATCGTGAGTCCTCAAGAAAATAGTTCAAGAAAGCCGTATGAATATGATCTCTTTGAAAAACCATTCAAATATCGAAAACAAGCAAAATCTTCAACCGTACTGATGGAAACCGGGCCGTTATTGTGCCTTCGTCCCAAGTGGGATTCGGTGTGCTTTTATTGGTTCATCGGTTGACCATTGTTCAAGCAGAAAGTAGCACTCTGACACCGCAATGCTGCTCGCTCAATCTGTTGTGGATAGTTTAGTCTCAAACGCTACATCACAGATAGAGCCAATACCCACAGTGAGTTGCTGACAGCATGAATGTTACTAACATCGGGTAGCCCCCATATCGTTATGTATCCTGCCAGGCAGATGAAGAGTTATGGGGACCCCCATCCTGGAAGGTAAACAGCACCAACAGCACTCAGGCTTTTCATAACATTCCTCATTCCCGTCTAACTAGTCAAATTGTCCACCTCTAGGTTTCCGCCACTCCAACCTAAGCATGCAAAACTGCGCTCGTCTCAATAGGTGGCAACTCGACGTAACACATGGTCCAGCTACTCTAGGTTACAATGCTAGATGTATTTTATTTTGAGGGAAGTATCCTTTGCTGCATCAGAACTCCGTTATCCGATCACTTAACTGTGAATTCGCCAGTTTCAACCAGGTCCGAAGATGTTTCCGATCATCCGTCTGAAGCTGCAAAGTCTCGCAGCCGCAAAACAAAAAAATTCGTGATTTAATTTTATACAACGTCCTTTGGGAACTAGTGATATGCTTTTTTGATATCTCAATTGGCGCATATTGGCAAACAATTCTGGCCTTTAAGGTTTGTGCACCGGCTTCACCTGTCACACTGCAACTTCTAAGGTGCGCATGGTTCTTCACAACTTCCAGGGTCACTCCATTTGAATTTTAGTCATTTTCAAAGAGTGTACACCTCGCAGCATGACTCTGCACTTTGTGGGCGCGAACCACGCGTCGAAGAATTGAATGATCTTGGTTAGTTTGTCTATCAGAGCTTGCACAATACAGTCTGCATATTCTACGTCGACAGGGTTCTCGCTCAGAGAAGTGTAAACACTGGGATTTCGGAATCTTTCCAGACTTTCCACGCCCCAGCGTGTTTTGGCGCATGCTTTGGAGTTCGGTCTCTCGAAGACATCCGGCCGTTAACCCAGAATAATACGTACCTTCAGAAAACGCTCTCTTTATGGCTTTGTAAAATCGCCTATCTAACTAGTCTGTCTGGAAATCACCTTTGCAAGTAGATTAAGATATGCAATCTTCCCTGCAGAGCAGAACTCAGGTTTCCGTGATAAGTGTTCATGTGCGCTTGATAAAAAACTGAAAGCTATTTTTTCTTTAAATATCTACAGTTATTCCAAGTTGTTGTTAGACAGCATGTTTTTCACTGCTTTACAAATGGAACAGTGAACAAACGACCGCTTCTGTTTGAGGGTGGCGAAGCTGAGGAGACTGGCATCAACAAAGTGAGGTTCGTTGTTCCCTTCCTCCTCGGAAGTCAATATTACAGACGCGTGGGCCTTGTTGACTTTGTTTGGAATACAGCTCACTTAGTTCTGACCAGTTACGATAGAAAACAACTTAACGACGATAGCAAACCATCAATTCCGTGGGGAGTTTCACAAAACTTTTTTCAAGTTTGTTAGGAGCTGAGTTAACCGATATAACAGAACATACTTCGACCATGACAGTAGAAAGGTTGGTGCATAGGGTGCAGAGGAGCCGGCCGCAAATCAGGCAGAGGGCGTTCTCCTGGAATCTGTGCTGCACAGCATCGCAGTTGACCAAATGCAAAGCGTTGAACAGAACGTCAAAACAATAGGGTGTACGGATGAGCCGAGGTGAGTACAGTTGTCGACCGATTTCAACCGTAGCCTGCAGAGACAAGTTAAGAAGATTTAGGAATTTCATCACATTTCGCAGTTTTCTAAAATGTTGAGAAGAGCAGTCAATAGATTTGATCGAATTAGATGCGCAAGGATATACACAAGTGGGCTCGCCGTTCCAGCGAAATGACTCCACACCGGGTACCAGATTCCAGGAATTTCGTTTGGGGGGACGCAGTTCAATCAGTTAGATCGAACAAAATCATATATGTGCATATTGCAAAAAAATGGATACAAAACCATATTTTCTTCAAAACATTCCTCAAGTGTTGCTTACAGTCAGGGAAAGCTTGTTCACGTCGTGCTCAAGTCCACCATGTATGCCCCTCTGCAGCATACTTCTACGCTGCATAGACGCTCGCGTTGGTAACTTTCACCAGAGTTGAAGCTTCGGGCTCTGAGTGTTTGTGTAGTGTGAGACCCAAATCCGAGGCGATTCTATTTACTCATACGAATAAAAATTATGGGTACATTCCCACAAGCAGTATTCGTCCCATGAGAACGTTAGGTTTCCGCCGACTCAGCTTATCACAGGAGCCGGAAAGTAAAGATTGTCGTAGACAAAGCAAATGATTGGGTAGTTCTGTCGATAAACCTCAATTCGCCCGGAAACAATCGATTACAAAGGGTGACTTCGACTTCAGCAACGTTTGCTATATCCTGCTGCAATTATGCTTGGTGAGGAAGGCTATTCTGCTGTATATTCACGCATACGGAATGAACGTAAACAGTGCCCATGAGGAGTGGCCAAATGAATAACGTTCGAATCAGTTAGGGATATCGTTTAGTTTCACGACACAACCATTCGCCATAACATCATACATCTCGCACGGACTTTGCGTCTTTCGTTATACTGTAGTTACCATCATATCCGACACTAAACTTCGCACAATACCAACAACACGTGTGATCTCATCCCATCCACCATCTATACTGTGCGTCTGACTACCACCACCAGTCAAAAACACCAATAATCTAGCCTATTTAATCAGTTAGATGACATGAAATATTGTTCTTTAGGACGTAATCGTTCCGGAAAAAGTTAGCTAAATTTGGGTGGAGTGGGTCGATACGGATTCTGGAAAACATGGATTGTGGGGATCGTTAGCGTAGGATACGCGGAAATCATGACAAGGCACGAGGCACACGACAAAACGGAAGCTAGAAAGTGAAGCACAGAAAAGCCCAGTGTGTTGTGGTCAATCCAATAGAACACACGACCCACTTATAGACATCTACGGAGGGGGGAAGGCTTCAGGAAAGTCGGAGAGACGGCAGCTGCGAAAGCTACCAACAAAGGGACTAGTCGAATCCGATATGAACTTATATTTTTGACATTAAGCACTACGCGTAAGATGACTGAAAACTCCTCACCAGCACATTTAGGTGGAGAATATCGTAAACAAGGGATTTAGTCCAGTCTACCGTTACCACACAAGTGATTCACAGATGAGTGACAGTTCGCCAAATGCACGTATTGTTTTACTGGTTTTACGAAATTTAAGCTGATGAGTTTTAAAGAGTGAGAAGGGGAACCGAAAATTAACTGAACAAAGGGTTGACAACTAGGGATGACATCAAGTTGAAGCCGGAAGTCACTAATGCAATAAACAATTATAAAAAAGGATCGGCTGAAGAACGCTGCAATATATGAAGAGGACTATTTATATGATGTTTAGGTTGGGAAGATTACATACACGGAATAAGTCTGGGATTTCAGCAAATCAGCTACGATAAGAAATTGTTTTTTTAGTTACTAACATAACCCTCGCTTATCGTCACGTTTTTCAAGAGACGAAGGCTGGCCTTACAACGAGAGGGAATGTGCTTGGGTGTACACTAGAATACTCTTGGAGTGTGAGGTGAGACAGCTCCATAGTGTGCACCTTGTAAGATCAGGCAACACAATGGAGTACAGTCCCAACGTCCGGGACAAATTCATGAACTACCTCAAAAGTTAGGAATATTATGAAGACATAAAAAAAGACTCACCCGGAGGTTTCGTGCCCACACTAGGTTCCGGTTAGCCGTTCTACATGTGCTGGTCACGATTACTGGTTTCAACATCTCGATGCCACTGGTGCGAACCAACTCGGTAGGAGATGAAACCTCGGTCAGTACATCGGAATCCAGAGGGCCGGAGAACTGACCAAACCACCGATCCATCAAGATGTACAATGGGTTAGAGGTAGTGGGTAACGTAAGACCAGAACGGGATGAGGCAAGTTCAGCAACAACTGATACACTGATTACGGCCGTGTCTCCGCAGTCGAGGGTTAGAAGACGACAAAGGTCACTGAATTCCAGCAGACGTTGCTGAAAACAAAGACGAAGAACAACAAGGCATTCCAAGACAACAAGAGCGTATAAACAAGTTGGTGCATCTCACCAGAGTGCGTATTGATGGGCAAATTTGTTGATAATCGAACAGAAGTTCTGACTGTATATTAAAAATGTGATCCACTAGCCGCGTTGACAACCGCGTGCATGATACGAATGCAAACTACTGTGCGTACTCAGTGCGTGAGAACTTACAAGATTCGACTCAGAGTTTTGTCGCCTAGTCATGTTAACCTAGTCTGGAAATTTGCCATCAAAGATCTATCAATGCTGTCAGCGAAAGCGTCTGAAATGAGGTGAGCAGAAAAAAAACTGCCTCGGCGTCCCTCCTGCCCTAACATCCAACGGCTGAGTAACCGGAACTCTGAAGACCATCACGCTATGCCATCAAGCAGCGGGCACACGCGGTTAATGAAAACAATGAAAACACTATTCCCAATAAAGTGAATTAGAGTAGATGTTCCATAGATGCACTGGACGGTTGTAACCTATTCAGTATGAGAGCCACCTTCTCACAAAAACCAATTATTTCTCAAGTTGGCCTGACGATTGAAGTATACTGCAACTAAACATATGCCCACGGGGTAAAGAGACTACCACAGTGAAGAAAAGCCACCAATTCTTTCGGTCTCGCCTGGAAGGTGATCCATATGGTTCGACATCAGTGCTTTGTAGGGAAAAGTAGTATTACACAGAAATTAATCTTTAAATAACACATTCAGTGATATTCGACATCACGGGACCCGAACTTCATACCTCTAACCTTTAGAAGCTTGGATTGTTGTTAAAGAGGAGAATTCCTGATTTTTTTCATCTGGTTAGCCAAATGGTATTTGGTAATACCCGTTATGGCTTTTTAGTTTAGTTCTAGCTCGGTTCCTCACACACTTTCAACAGAATCCTCTTTCACCCAAGCAGTTCACTCAGTTCAAACAATATCGCAATCTAAATAGGTAAGTAAGAGAACCCCATAAAATATGAGATAGGAATTCTGAAAAAAACTAAAATGATTATAATTCAAGTTCAATCACTTTTAAGGTCACATTACGAAGACCATGTTTGCAACATTAGCACGAAGGAGATCGCAAGTGGAACTGAGCTACAAACAACGAGACGTAAAAGGTGCACCTAGTGTCCGTCACAACTTGTTGCCTCTACCGGTATTCAAGAAGTCGCTAGTTGAGATCACTTAACCATACGCTAACCGGATTCGATAGGTAGCTACCAAACAATGTAATTTGTCCGGATTGAGAAGCCACTAAGATAACACTTGGAAAATGTTCAACCCAAAATCATCCACTGCGTTGAGGCTGATGTGCGAAACTACTGGCCGGAACATCCGTGGTTCAAATCCTGGCTTTTTTGATTGTTTCTGTATAGGACTGGACACCCTGGCGGCCCTCGTACTTTCTTGTGCTGAACGGCAGCTACACACTGAACAAGTGTTTTACGTACGCGATCAAAAATAATTATTTCTTAGAGCTGTCATGCCAGTCCACAATCGCGTACGAGCTTCAGTTTGACGCGATACAGAGTTTTATCAACCCACACAGATGGTAACACGGGTTTAGGAAGTTTAGAAAGTGAACTCATTTCACAAATTTGAATGCTCTTCAGCAAACAAACGTCTCTACAATTAATTTTGGAAAAATCGGTTATATTGCTCCTACTGTGAGTGAACAATGTCGGGCAGCGGACGTTTTCAACTACTGGGGGGTGTTTAGGGAATGACGGAACAACTATGTTCTGCTACAGGTGGTGCTGATTGAGGAGTGAGAGGATCCAGTCTATCTAGGAAGTATTATTCACGTATTAGATTGTTGCCAGGGCAACGCGCCTAAATAGATAGGTGCAGTAGAATTATCGGGTGATCTAAGCCCAAGGTCATTTTCAATGTGTACAGTGCACCACTGTTTTCGCAAATCGAACGCAACAATAAATTCAGTATAACACAACATCCATTTTTCATACGAAAATATGTGACACCAAGATAAGTAGCTAATGGGTAAACGAAAGTCAATAGGACAGTAATAACACTGAATGGTAGACTTACTTCAGCGGATATTTGAGGGTATGGGGGAGTCGTCGCAGCTGTCGATGATTGGGGAGATCCGGGCGCTTCACCTAAATGTGTTGATAGCTGGTTGACGAACGGCAAACCTGTAGGGAGTAGCTGTGATGAACGGCGATCATGAGGTTTTTGGTCGTCATCGATAGACTGCCAACGAGCTCGACATAGTCCAGCTAAACGCAAGAAAGGTAGCATTCTCAACACCACATGTAATTCAAACTGCGCCTGGTCCAGGGTGATCACACTACCACCGACTTCTGGTAGTCTAGCAGCGTTCCGAAGGACAAACTGACGTTTCACCGATTCGTTCACTTCGTTCGCATCCCGGTCCTCGGACGCGATGAGAGACTGTATACTCCGCATATGTCGTAAGATATGCTGTCCATGTTCCGCAACTGGACTAGACAGCTGTATATCGCATAAGAAACAGTCCAATGTATTAGAAAGTAAACTGACAATAGCGCGGTAAGTTCATGGATCAGTTCTGAGTCAATAAAAGGTTGTAGAAAGTAACTACGGTCTGCATGGCACTCCAACAGGACCATACACCGTTTCGAGCCTAGGGGAACGTTCTCAAGCACTGATATGTATTAATTAGCCCAAGCTGAATATGAACATTTTTTGAGGACAGCCGTGTTTCTCGAGGACAACTTCATCATAAACGAATTAAAAGCAGCTGGAAGGGACGAAAGTAACAGTGGAGATGCTAACGCAAAACACTGACTAATGGTGGGATTATAGAGTTCGGTTAGCTGGCTAGCGAGTGATGAGATGGAAATGCAACGGGGTCCCGAAGCTTGCTACAACTTGATATCGAACTGTACGAAAGTCGTAGCCTATTTCGGAAGAGAACCTAAAACAACTGACAGTTAGTTATGGGGTCAGTTTTCAATGTTCCGTCGGGAAGTAGCGACGGAAAACAGTGAATACCGTAAATCCTATAGAAGCCTATGTCGAAGTATCCCTGGCTGTAGAGAGATGCGAGTTACCCAGCGTACAGGAGCTCATCATATTCATTTGGCCTACAGGCTAAAAATATCCTTAAAATCATTAAGCACCGAATACAGCGAACCAATCAGATTGCAACGCTGGTAGGGTCTATAAAGATGAACTTCCTCAGCCTTAAGATCATAAACATTTGAGTGGCAGTGTGGCCGAGCGCTCTAAGGCGTTGGCTTTAGGCAGCAGTCCGAAAGAGCGTGGCTTCGAATCTCACCACTGTTAGGCCTTTTGTACGGCAGCGAAGCATCACTGTTGAACAGTGGTGTCATGCTGTCGATGATAATTAAGGTAAACATTTGATAGTTATAGGTTCATTCAACAGATCATCTGAACTGAACCGAACAGAAAGCTGGTGACGGTGAAGAAGAGCGAAAAGATATACTTAGGCTGATGACGTGGAAAACACATATACTCGTACTGTTGGTAAGAATCTGAGACAAATGTAGGAGTCTTTTTAAACAAGTTTAGCAGCATTAGCAACGGACCTGAAACAAGATACATTTTGTACATATAGGTGTTCAGCCTCCAACCGTCTGGAGCTTTCGGTGATGATGCCCAAGTCCAACATTCATGACAAGTCGATTGAAGAATTTATCGAACAGCATCGGGATGTGGGCCGAAATATGCACCTCTCCAAACGACACAACTGAGGAAAGTTCCGGAGTGCATTTCGATTCGTTATTAGCAGAGCCCAGCAACTAGTACATTCCAAGAACTGATACAGAGAGTAAATAGATCCAAATTAAAAATGCTACCAGAACACTCGAACTGGTGTGACAAAGCGCAGCTGTGGAAGAAAACCGATGAGCAAACTCACTTTGGAAGCGAAAACCTCGGCTGTCGTCAATTGTGCCTCGAATGAAACATCAGAGGTGTTCGCGAGACCGGAAGTATTCAGCAGCGCACTAATTAGAGCGCGAATATACGCCAAGGAGAATGTTGCAGCTACCAGAGTGAGGAACATGTCTGAAAAAGGTACAGTAGAGTGCAGTTGGTTACGCTACAAACGCGCGTCGTAGCTATACCGAACGAAGGCATTATAAAAGGGGTCAACGAAAGGTTAAGTCTAGAAAATATGATGAAACAAAACTTGCAGTACATTTATCAGGACCAATAAGGAAGTTAACGAGCGAAAATTCGGGAAGGAACCACAAGCTGATTGGCCTAACTCCAACAAGTTTACTTCTTCCATTTCTAAAATGTGCCGTATCGCCTGAAATGTGGACTAGTAATGGTCAACACTTATGACTGGATATGTAGTTTGAATGGTAGGTGGACCAAAACGCCAGCCTTAGTCCAACAGACTCTGAAACAACAGTAACCGAAGTCATCTGTGCGGTGAAGTAAGATGAGAGGTGCTCAAGAGCATACCCCTTCCTTATAGTAGTATGGAAAGATTGGTGAAAACAACGGGTCTCCCAACATTACTTATAAGGGAAAACAGTTCGACATTTTGTACACCAATCCATTAAAACCTATAACAGGCATGGTTATGCACATTCAGGTGAGCGAACATTATAAAAGAGGGATTTATTCGAGACCATTTTAAGCTCACCGTTTGAAACAATTTACTGAGCAAACGAGTTAAATGGTGTTCACTCCCTTTTATAAAACAATTCGATAACTCGATTGACGAAACACACTCAGTTTCAAACTAAGTTGCTGTTGACGGGGTCCTTACTGTATCCTGGGTGGGCTTCTCGTTTATGGTAGTGTTCAACTGAGTCTGCTGCACATAGGCCGCCTTATATTTCAGTTGACAAGACATTCGACATACCGCAGTATATTTTCCTGACGGAAGAACACTACTCCCGAGGTTGTTCGTGAGCCCCAAGAAGGCTGCAGAATACTGCAGCCTATTGAGAAATTTGGCAATGTGTCCATCGTTTTCGCGTTTATCTTGTTTGTGTGCGACCATATGAGGACTTCATCGACTGTCAGTAGTTTGGTGGTCAACCCATCTGCTATAAGTTGTAGAATCAGAGATCAATGCAGGTGTGGTCCGTGTATATCAACCACTCCTATTAAGAAAGCAGCATTACCCAAACTTTGAAAAAAAGATCGTCCGAACATTAAAGGACGACTTTACCGGATGTGCACCCAAATACATAAGGATAAGAACAAACGCATCGTGTACATGAGCAGCATGTACGTAGAGAGTGAATCGTTCCTTGCTACAAAAATGTCCGGAGGCCAGCCGTCCCTAATAACCGAACATCGCATCACTTGGACGGATGTCACGTGCAGGACATGGATCAAACGAAGGTAAGCCCTGATTGGTCAGAATGCCAGCCGATCCGAGTCGAGCATCTTTGACGCTCCTCACCCCCTCACGGAGATTCTGGCACGACTTCGTGGAACACTGTGACTACCCTATAAATACAATTGTAATAATTTTCCTTTGTTTCCATAAAGGACTACGATGTCTTTCGAAATACCATAGTGGGTGGAGCAGGAAGCCAGGGGACCGATACAGAGTTGCACTACCGTTCGGCAAGACACAACAACAATGAAATCACATAAATGCTTAAGCAGCCAACTCACCTTCACGCGGCCAAACGTGAGGTAACAGGGTGAGAAGAATGTCTGCGGGATCTTGACAGAGAGCAAAGATGGGTACTGGAGGTCTGTTTTGAAAAGAAAAAAATAAAGGTATGACTTCACATTCAACACGGCTAGCAGTGGAGATCAGAAAAAAAAACTATCGAAAAACAGGGTATACTTACGTTATATGGTCGTACAGACGGTCGGTGATGCAAGAAATCCTCACCACCAACCAGCTAAACACGGGTTGACATTCAGACGCAGCACTAAATTAAGCTTGTTAGAACGTCAGTTAATAGATATATTGACCTAGTTTTATTCTGTGATCGAATGTTTGTTCAGGTAAAGTCCTAAGTGTCTTTCATGAAAACTCTCTGGCACGTTGATAAAGCTAGAAAAGGTACCTCGTTGAAGACACCACCCCAAGAAATAACTGTAGGGGTTGTTACAGGGGAGAACTGTTCAAGGAAGATTCCCGAAAAGGGCATTTGTCAAGTTTGGTCTTGTGAATTAAGCTGATGGGTCGGGCAGCCAGTTAACAAACGGTGTCATCACCCTCTCAGTCGAGTTCATGCCTTATGAATGTTGTGCACGTACACAACAAGCATACTACGGTGTACTTTGGTGAAGTTTCGCATTTGCAGACATTTATTAGACATTTTATGTGAGTGATCATTGAAATATGGAATGGTCACCATAAGAACAGCAGAAATCACACTACGAACCAGAAAGACCACAGAGGTATGTGGCCACCTCCATACAGTAGTGCGGTTGGTTCCGAAAATGTTGACGCCAACAGGAAAGAAAATAACAGAAAGAACTTCGAAAACGACGTAGAAACTCACATGCCAGATTCGGAATCATTTAAATGTGGAACTGTTGTCGAGGTCAAAGAACGAAGAACAGCCTGCATGTCTGTGGAGCGCCTGTAAATTTGTCGAAGGTAGGAGAGGAATTCACCTGAAGGACCGAAAAAAGGAGACAATTATGACCAATATCCATTCTGTCACAGGTATCGTCCAGACAATATCCGGACGTACTGTTCATTGTAAGCGGAAGTATACATGGGAAGCATTGTAAGTGTTTCCAATAAGTGCGGTAAAAATATTCGAGAATATCAGTGGTATGTGAGACGGAGCACACGAAATCGAGCCTAGAATTTCGTTTAAAGAAGCTGTGAGTAACGGAACCGAAGCACAGAGTCGTCAAGAAAAAAATCCATACTTTTTTTTAAGAAGACCAGTCACAAGGTAACCGGAGACACTTCGGCAGTTCACAAGTAGTTTCGTACTTCCCCAAGCTCATCAGGTAGGCCCAATTCCTGAATTTTCGTCAACCCAATGTGCTGCTTGAATACATTTTGTCAAATCCGCTAACTACACCCATCTGCACACCAATTTGATTCGTCTATGATATTTTTCGGCTGATCGTGTTACACAAAGGTCGTCTCAGGTTTCAGGTAGGACGATATCCGAGATATCGTACAACGAGAGAGGGCGTGTTGAATGCCAGGGAACAACAGTCACGCTGATGAGAAAACCTATGTACAGGGACAACGTAAGAACTTACGCCACGAACAACGACGTGAGACGATTGAATATTGCGAAGGACAACTCATTAGAACGGAGAGCTCACACTCTAGTTGAGATCTGGAAGGCAAGAATATAGTGAAATTAGGAATCAGAAGTTGGCACCCGAATGTGCCCTGGAATTTCGAGTTTGCGCGACCGTTTGAAAAAGACGGACAAAAGCAGTTACGGGAAAAAAGAACCCTCTAAATAAACTCCTGACACTCCAGCAAAGGGTCAAGGATGGATCTCAAACTATGCACCAGCTGCACTCTCACAATACAGTACACTGCGGGAAAGAGCTTGAATACGATCAGTCCATCTAGGTTTACCACCGGTTGGAGCATCTAGAACGAATTGGAAACGATGACTTCTCAATCGGTTCCAACTTTTTTCCATTGATTGAAGGGTTGGAGCATCTAGAACGAATTGGAAACGATGACTTCTCAATCGGTTCCAAACTTTTTCCAGTTGATTGAAGTTGAGGTATTCAACAGGAAATCAAGTGGCAAAACTGGGTTATGTGCATATGCCACAGAGAGAACCCAAATGCGCAACCGGTTGGCATGACACATCAAAATGGAAGAATGTATTTCTACTCCCTACGTTACATGTCCAGTGCAACGAACACTATGGGCTTGCGTCCCCTTCCCGAAAACACTTCGGTACTACTTTGCTAACACAGTGAACAGATGAAAAAAGGCAGGATTAACAACACGATGATGACGGTTAAATTGGAGTTCCATAAGGGCATTTTAAGAGGTTGGTCCAAGTGAACCTGGACATCAACAGGTAGGTGGATTTTCTGATCCACCACACTCTTGCCGGGAAACTATTGTCAGGCACGTCGGGAGTTGATGTTGCCTCGAAGACCAGCAGAAACATTTTGATGATTTCTAATGTAGTCCCTCCCCTCGGATTTTCAACACCGCCCTTTTGAAAATGTCCAAAAGTTGTTTCACAAAGCGGCTGGACCGTGAATGCGATGGCGGTGTCCAATTATGCTGGATACCGTTCTGTTCACAGAAAGCGAAGAATTTGGTGGAGGTAAATACTCTGTCATCGTCGCAGGATAAGATTTCCATAGCTCCACATTTTGTAGAATGGTGGCGCGCGAAGCGATGCACCACATGAGGAAATACTTCCCGTCATTTACTGTACGTGTCTACTAAGAGTATACGACATTGTCTACTAATCGGATCTGTGAAGTAAACAGGAAGTCGGTTTCTGGTACAGACCCTAGCCAAAACTCTATTTTCAGATGGGAATGGACGGCCAAAGGTGTCTGGAATACGTGCGAATGAGTTCCTCTATCCAGTTGTCCATATTGGGTTAAAAATCGTATCTGCATACCCATCCCCTCATACGATTAATTCGGGAAGCTCGAAATGAAACTGTACGAAAGTTGTGTGGTGTACCCCGCTGGACACCAATCTCAGAAAGAGAGAACGCATCTTCAAAGAACAGCGCGCTAAGGATCCATCAGTCTTGATTGCGCGTCAGACTGACCTATGGCATCGGCCGTCGCAGTTGATATAGAAATCACATCTGTCCTGTGTCACAAAGAAACGGCTGTCTAAAGTGAGATGTTTTGCTGGAGCGCTTTTCGTGTCTCGGAAGTCGTAGTCATTCCAGCTGTAGTGTGACAGATGAGGTCAATGCATGTATCTGCAAGGCTTGGGTCGCGTTTGCTAATTTGAGACACATATATCCCTGAATCGGAATAGGAGTGGGCACCAGGCTACAGTATGGCCTGTTGTCTAAGAACCATAGCTTGTGAGAGTGTGAATAGGCTTACTCAAAGGAAAGACACAAACACAGTGGATAAATAACCTTAAAGGAGAGGAACACAGACAGGTTCAAAAACGAACCTGAGCAAGATAGTTGCTTCGAATTGCTCTCCAAGAAGTTGGGACATCAGGGTGCGACGCTGGACAGTAGTTTCGTCTTCCGCTCCGTTGAGATCTTCCCAAATGCTCCGTCCTTCAGCTTCTAAATTCAACTGCGGAGAAACAATAGGTTAGTTGGTTAGACAACAAGTAAATCATAATCGGAATAAAACTAATTTTACTACAGTACAGAAAGGAAGGTGAAAAAGTTTATTTTCCTGATAGTTGTCAACAATATGTAACGACTACATCTCAAGGTAACAACAAGTGCAACATTCGTGTAGGTACCTAGGTCTCACACGCAGTGCATATAGCCTTGTGGAGATGTGTCTCTCCAAACTCATAGGTATTGCACCTCCATACCATTCTAAGAAGCCAGCTGCAATCACGCGAGAACAGCGGAGCAGTACAGCTAGACTAGCACATGACTAAAATCGCAGATGGCGGGCACCGGACACATGATTTATGATCATCTCGTGACCAGTACATTGAACTTAAAACACCGACAGAGAGGAAATCAGGATGCTTTAGAGCCTCTAAGACTCCCCACCAAAAACATAGCAAAATAAATCGCATCGTATACTTATTTAGAGGATTTTCCAAACCTCGCAGGATGCCGTCTCAGTTACTAAATTGACAAATTGGAAAATGAGTGCACGATTTCGCAGGTTTGCGTATCCAATTAAGATACAGTACTGCTACTAAAGTAAGCAGACTTTGGAAAAACTGACCTCTATCGACGAATGCTTTTCTAGGTATGCCTTCGACTGTACGCTAGAAACACACTGGTATTATTACAGAATAAGCCTATCGCTATGCTTCAGGTCGGAAGACACGTTGGAGACGGAGCTGTATTCCTCTAGAACTAGCTTCTGGAAGATGTCATCGCATTTGGATTGACCCCTCGGGTGTTCTATCAAAACGGGAATTGTGTGGAGTGAATAGAAACAAGTGACTGCACGTGAACTTTGGTTAGATCTCGAGCTTTGAAAATGGGTTGAAATACCATTGGGAGGGAGGTATGTCGATGAACAAGCGTTCCCTGGAATTCTTTCTGATTTAAAATCCCACATACATGAGTCATTTCCGATAAATGTGTAGTGGCTGAAATTCACCATTTTGTCAAGAAATCAACCGGAGTGAATAGAAACAAGTGACTGCACGTGAACTTTGGTTAGATCTCGAGCTTTGAAAATGGGTTGAAATACCATTGGGAGGGAGGTATGTCGATGAACAAGCGTTCCCTGGAATTCTTTCTGATTTAAAATCCCACATACATGAGTCATTTCCGATAAATGTGTAGTGGCTGAAATTCACCATTTTGTCAAGAAAATCAACCGGGCATTTTTTCGCTATTGCTCAGCGGTACAAATAACCTATTATCCTGTTTTCGAAGGCACGAATAAAAGGCAGTTTTAGGTACCATATTTTTTGTGAAACGATAGACCCAGTATACCTATTGCAAAAGGAAACATGGATGCGACGAAGTGGGAAAGCACATGCAGTAACTCAAATGCCTGGATGACCTGAGGCTAACACCAAAGTTGTCCGAGTATGTATAACGGCGCTGCAGTCAGTAAAATACGTCGGCCGCTAATAATATTTTTCTGCTTAGGAAAAAAGGCTGAGAAAAGAAAGCTTGGATAACACGCGATGGTTACTATACACCTTATAATCTGAACCAACATACCAAGGAGCATGCTAGATTTCTTGATTTTTCACTATATACCATCCGTTTAACTTAAGGGAACCCGGGTTTGGTAGTAACAGGTCATTTGCGACGATAGACAACAAGCGAATTGATGAAAGCTTTGATAAGTCGATAGCTGGTTTGTGCACACCTTATCCTGTAAATAAAAATTTAACCCGTCAAATCATGTAGGTTTCCAACACGTTATCTTGAAGTCACGGGTGCCAAACAGAATCACGAAAGATCCTTCGTCGAACAATTGATGCGGTCTAGTAAAGACGAAACTCCTTATATACCTAAGTACATTCGAAACCCGTCAGTTCCAGTTCTACTGGGTAGCTGATCCTGGTATGAACAGGACAGCGGGAACAAACCCTTTTGAGATGACAATCCCATTAGACCCTAAAGACTCAATGGAAAAACCGACTGCCGCATCACCTGGAGGCGATTCGTGAATAATGGTTAAAAGAATAAACTCTGAACACAACAAGCAAACAATGAGAGGTGTTTGAGTTTGAAGCCACCGCATCTCAAACGACACTTCTTAGATATTATGCTAGGTAGGTTATCGGAGCCTTGAGACGACTTTCATGTTAGACATGGATAAACATCGGAAAATAATGGGGAGAAAAGGACAACTGCAAACATACAAGCGAGTTTTCGAGGGTCGTAATGTGCTCATCTGGAGTACGCGAATTGAGGAGCTTGTCTTTGTCTATACGGGGCGCGGAAACAAGCGGCAACAAATGGTGTACATCCCGTCGGCATAGCGGACAGGAAATCCATGTGCGATTTCCACTGAAACGGGTTCGGGTGGCGCTCTGAAGATAGGCACAGTAAAAAGTGTGAGAAGTAGAAACGCATTAGGATAAAACTGCACAAACAATTGGTCAAAGATTTTCTAGAAAGAAATGGATCCAAAAAAAAACACACGATGAATAGTCCACTGAAATGGACTGGGCAAGCTTGGGTCATCACGTGACCAGCGCAACGATGATAAGAAAACAATACGCTCATGTAACGTACTGTGAGATTATCCGCTGGGTACCGATTAAGCGACCAGCCTTGTTAAGAAATTCAAGGGTCACTTTTATGCTGACATGAGAACTAAGATTAAGACACATGGCGACAGACATTCATGTGCAAATTAAAAAATCGTTCATTTGTAGCACCCTTTCGGTGCCTAACTGCCATGCCACCAGAAGGAAGCACGAGGGATGGGAATATTACCAGGTTGTTAAAGCCTAGACAAACGGAGTCGAGAAGTGGGGGTTGGGTTCGAAGCACGGAGCCTGTGGCCGGTAAATTCATATTCAGATCACCGAGCCATCCAACCCCCAACGGTTTTGGGAAACCCAACGGGAAATGCGTTTCGGCGTCTCTCTGATGAGACCTAGTGAGTATGAATTCAATCGAAGTGGCGTGCGGCAATTTCACACTGGTTCGTTCCAGCTCAAATACCAATAGCGAATCAATGCAACCATTGAAGTACGGTTGCCTTCATCAAGCGATTCGTCTACTCAATTTCACGACTTAACCAGAAGATTTGGAATGAACCGACAGATCAGGCGGGGTCATCGTGCATGTATCACAAGAGTTTAAACTCAGCAATAGTCGTCCAGCTGTAACACCATTATGGTGCCCAGCTATCATGCCACTCATAGGAAGAACCGTGTTTGAGGTAACGCGTTAGTAATGAGCTCTTCCGGTTGTCTCAAAGGTTAGCCGAAGACAGAATCGTCCCAGTCCATCCCGAGCTAAAATTTTATTTGGCACGACTGACTTATAATTGACTGACTGTCTTATAATTGGTCCGCAATCATTCCGTTCTTCTAAGTCTGAGAATAAGTTCAAGTCAAAACAATACTTCCTTATGGTTTACCAAATATTGATAAGAAAATCTGGATAGCGCAATCGAGAAGTTGAATAATCTAATGCTGTGGCAGGGACCGAACGCGGTCCAAAAAATAGGGTTGCATGAAGTCAACGGCCATAAGCAGATAGCATATTTTACTCCTCTCCCGTCGCTAAGACGGATTCCTCTAGTGCGACTAAAATTACCCGGCAATTCACTTGGACTAGACAGAGATGGTTCTAGGGATCACATTGCCTGTTTCGAATACTGAAGATTTATTGATGCATGCGTCATCTGACTTGACTTAAGAGGACACTCGTGTTTTCCCTCACCACACCTGAAAATGCTGCCAAGTAAGACGGAGTGGGAATCACAGATATTCGGTCGGGCGATTCGACTATTCGTGTACCCCGTCTTCAATGAACTTATAATATTTGTATCAGAACATGGAACATTGATGATGTTATGGGTGTGGGTACTGGAGGTAGCGAAAATTAACTCACTTGAGATCGATATCGCTGGAAGCACTCTCGGTGAACCACATGACCACAAGTCTGTAGGATGAGGCCAGGTCGTAGGAGTGGAAGGTTCTTTCCAATCACTGCAGGTAAGGCTAAGCTCCACCAACGTCGCGCTTCCACATAACAAGGTGGAGCAGTGCAAGTGGCAGTGGACATGGCACCCAGAGCACCTACTCCAGTAGAGGCAGGAGGTGCAGGGGACTGTAACGTCGTAGGGCCTACCACAGAAGGTAGCCAGTGACTAGGTGATGGGGAGGGAGGGACGGATGTTGAAATTTGCAAGGAAGGTGTACCAGCGGGGGAAATCGACTGTTGCCAAGGGTTTTGTGTGGACCCATCAGGTTCAAACGTGGTAGACAATACGGAGACACCAACAGTTCCTGTTGGCGCCTGGCTGCTGCTGCTTGCAGGTGGTAAGTCTGACCGGGTTGAAGACAATAGGCCGGACATTGGTTCAGCCAAATTATCTGGAGGTCTGGTTGGGACTAGCCAAGAAGAGTCTGGTCCAAGCAAACGTTCAGCAGATAGTCCAGAGGCTTGCAGTTGGTGATTGCTGTGAAGTTCGGGCAGTAAAGGTGTTTCGCGTATGTGCAGGGATGCTGCAAAAGAATTGGTCAAGTATTATCCCGACGGAAACGAAATTTGTAAGAAGATTGCTTTACGATCAAGTTATCTGAACCCGAAATGATCACCGCGACGAGGATAAGTAAACAATGGTGGATACCGAACGCAACCCCACTCACACGGGGAAGGGGCGCATTTGCGCTATCGAAATAGATGCTCTTGGAAGGTGCACTGATGTGCTTATCAACCCATGCGATGTGTTCGCCAACCGGAACACTGAAAAAGATATTCACTAGTGATTACCTAGCGGACTGTTTGCACACTGTGGAATAAGTATCCGAAAGTCTGGCAAAACTGGCCTTCCTCTAATCTGTGGTAGAAAAGTCAAAGTGGGATACACCCCAAACAATGAATTTCGGAACGCTATTAGCCCTCTAGCTCCGTGCTATAACGTACTAAACCGAGCATTCCAGAGGTGCAAAAGCTCAAATGTCATGATAATTTTTTGGAAAGAAGCCAACATGGCTCGGAGTTTGAAACATCAGAACCTGATTGAAAGGTCTTGATTCAAACCTATCCCAGTTTATCCACCGCCGTTGTTCGGTCCTCGGCAATCTGGTGGGCCCTCAGCTTATATGCTTTCTTAGGGTTGTAGTCGATTGTTGAGACGTGGGAACCTTTCAGTGCACAACCTTCATACAGCCTGAGCGGAGCACAAGGGTTCAGATAGTGTCAATTCGCTGAAACATAGACCAGGATAATCGACAAGTCAAGGTTTGGCTCGGACAACGGACCTTCGTATCAGCAGCTCAGTCGCTTTACCCCGGAGATATCCCGACAGCAGGGTTACAAGAAAGATTACTCACAAACTATGGCTTAGGAAAATGTATGAGGAAACCCTACCCCAACCTCAACATGATTCGTGATAGGTGCTTGTTGGCATTCGAGCATTCGGTCTACAATGAAGGAAAAATGAATTGCCGAAAACTGTTCCGATTTTCAGACTTGTAGTACGTATTATACATACCATCATAATAAACGGAAAATACCGAAACGACTATGAGGTCGGTCGGTAGTGGGGCAGTATCCATAATCAGTTCCTACAAATCTCATGTTCATTCACCGGGCACTATTAGTTTAGCGTGAAGGTAGGCATCAGTAAATTAAATAAGTGGCAATAAAATATGCAGAAAAGTACTAACACATCAGATAGCACCAGTGAAAAAAGACAGTGAAAGGTGGAGAATTATGGTGGAGACATATAACCAAGTAAATAAAGAAGACGTCGGGTTCACGCCAGTTTCCAAATGAAACTTCACAGGTGAGGTCGTAGTGAAGGAGGTCCCTCGGATCAACCCAAGTGTTACGTCAGGTAAGGAGCAGTCAAGTTGGTGCTATGGGACTGATTACTACGTAAGATTTCCACTGAAAATGTCAAGAGTTTCTATGGGACCGTGAGACATTCTTGAACATCCCATAATCCTGAAGTATGGACGCAGAACCAGAGCAGCATAATGATTTTACCAAAGTCGGACGCAGTACTATTATGATATGGCACTGTCATCCAGTGATAGGACCGCAGAATCAACAAGAACCGTATGCATTAATTTCTCAAAATGAACTCTTCGAAATGGACTCTTTGCCGTCGACCATTATCTAGCTTGCGAACACAGCCACGCATGTATAAAAGGCAAATGAGACGGATATCACCAATTTTCGTGGTATTTACTGGAATGGGTTAATGACTAGGGAAAAGCTGCCTACAAATAACTATGCTAACTTGACTGGATGCAACCACAGTATCGGTCACAGGTGAAGAGAATGACGGCATTATAGAGCTGAACTTACTTCCGGATTCACACATCATGTCCAGCAAAACCAAGTCATCCGTAGCAACCGTACCCGACGTCTGACAAATGACACATTCGTACGTTTTTGCTGCATTATCCATCACAGCCTGGCTCTGATCCGTTGGCTGACCTACAAGCACGATGAAAAACAGGAAGCGCTAACCGTGTGTATAACTGAAACACAGGACTCACCTGGAACCCAGCTGAATCACTCGTTAATGATGTTTTTAGACAACCGAATGTGCTATTTCAGGATGCTTCGTGTTTCATTTGGCACGATATTCGAGATATCGCGACACGTTGTATAGACGTAATACACTACTCATAAGGTCGCTAAAACTCATCGACAGCCCATTAGCGGTTTCACCCTTTTTGTACTCATCAGGCAGTCGCAGTTCCAGAGTTTCCGTCGACCTTATGAGTAGTGTATTAAATTTCTACATGTATCGCGATATCTCTAATAGCATAGAAGCCGAAGTTTGAAATGGCCGGGTGTGGCACATTCAGTTGCTTGAAAACATCGTAAACAAGAGATCCAGTTGGGTTCCAGGGAAGTCAACCGTCAAAAACAAATTGGTATGCAAATGAGTTTATTGCGCTGAATATACTGCATGCTTCAATCTGACTGGGACCCATCACTGGAACTACACCATGGTAAGCAGATTTCTAAGGATTTTCGACAAACATGCCACACCGAGAAGAATCCAATGCAATTCCCATACGCCGTGTGCAAAATTGGTGACTTTTTAACGGTGGCGTTACAAGTCCAAGCTTTGAAAGTGAACAACAGTCTTTCGAATTCTGATACATTCACCTAACCCGTCCTATTCAGGACGAAATGTGTTATGGACTGATTTTTCAGAGCTAGCCATTCATGTTACTTGCAAAAAATGATCGGGTGCTCCATGAGGATCTCGAATAGTCAGGAGTAATTGTCTGAATCTTAAAGTCCAAGGAAAACTCACTCAAGTTGGACATAATTTATTTGACTTCCTACACAAAGACCAAGTGAGTTATTTGCCAGCTGACTGATAATCCGCTTACTTATTAACTCCATTTCCTTCAGATGCGCTTGTGCGAAAGCTCGCTGCTTGGAAGCCATCTGTTGCATCAACCGATGGCGACGCTCTAGAGCAGCCGTTTTGCGTTCTTCACGCGTTGCAGTCACAGCACCGGGTGTAGGCGTAGTCCGACTAGGTGAGCTTGGAGGAACCGAAGCTTTGCTGAATGAAAAAAGTGAAAATGAGCACAAGTTCTGAACTAGGACGTGGAGAAAAAGTACGACAAAAGAGAAAAGGTTACACTATCACTGTTTCAGTTTAGCGCTCTAAACGTGCGTGCTACAGAGACAGGCACTCAGCATAGGGTTGTAGGTAGAACCCACAGAAACAAGGAACTGTAAATCAGGCCCAATAATAACATAATTAGGTATTGCAAAATACAGCAGTTCATCAACGGTGTTCTCACACTAGTATTACTGTCTTTAACGATGTTGAGAGAAAACAGGTAAAGTACACTGGGTAAAAGCAAGAAGGACATAACCTGCTACAACTAGTTTACGAGTACTAATGATTTAGCTATAAGGTGAATGCGGTCTGAGGAAAGTTGTTCCGACCGGGTTCCACTGACCTGTCATTAATAGATACTGTGGTTTTCAACAAAGAAGCATCAGACTCAGCAGAAATAATGGCTGCTGTTAACGGTCCAACTGTCTCGTCGTGGATGTCATTTTTTGTTGAAGATGAAAACGAGTCCATTGGCTGAAGCCGAAGAACCCGAACGGTTGGGTCGAATGGCCGACGAGCTCGCGTTAGATAAAGACGAATAGCTGCATCATTGCCCTGCGAGATCCTTGCAATTTTATCCAACAGTCGTTCGATCCAGAAAGCGCCATCACCGAAGTCCGCACACTGGTGTTCCTCTTCCAACTGCCTCTTTTCAAATTCAGCAAAGCATACGTCATTGAAGTCTGGACAGGGAAGGCCGGTCTCACCGGGAGCTAAACAAAGGATGGTGCAAGAACGAAAGATTAAGCGATTCATGTCAACAAGTGACCAGCCAATCTGCAAAGACTGAAAAGTGATACTATGATATATGGGCTGGTAGTTGCTCGGATATGTCCCTCAAAAATCACCCACTTTTCTTCTGACACACACTTAAATACAGGAGCATAGCACTTTTGACTGTACTGTACTGTACTGTACTCGGAAAGTTGGAAGGAATTTTAAAGTTTGACCGCTGAAAATCTGTTAGTCTGCACTAAGAGAAACTGTACAGCTGTGTCGCTCTTGCTGGAGGTGGTCGGTGGTGGACACCTCAAAATGTATGCGCCGCGTGATGAACTTCCATACGCAAAAAGCACCAAATACAAAAAAATTAAAAAAACGTTCAGCTGTAGCGCCCTTTCGGTGCCTAGCTGCAATGCCACACTAGGGAGGAACGAGGGCTGGGATACTGCCAGGTTGCCCAAGCCTAGACAGGGGAAGTCGAGAGGTAAAGGTCGGGTTTGAACCACGGACCTTCCGGCCAGTAAATTCGCGCTCCAACCAACTGGTCCATCCTACCTCGTAACAAATATTGAGTAAAAGTAGAATCAGGTTCTAAGGGTACTCACTGAGAAGTCGCGGGTATGTGATGACTTCCCAAGGGTTTGACCGATTTCTCGCACAGAAAAATGCGTGAACCTCAAAAGCAAAAGTACCGTAAGTTCCGTTGTATGTCACGCAATGATAGCAAGGTTTAAAAACACCGGACTGGATGCAAGAATAGACAAACCATGTGGTTCCGGCGGCCTTTCGGTTAGAAGATATATCGGAGCGAGCGGACCTAGAGTGAAAAGAAGTGCTACAGTTTTTAACTAAAAACCGTGCACCAAGATACAGTGGATCCAGCTTCTACCGTTTCATTGACGTAGTGAGAGCGTTACGCAACGAACGCAATAGTGTTGGAGAAGGACCGTCACTGGCTACGTGACAGTCATAACTGTCAAGGCCAACAACTATTCATTTGTCTCGCCCTGGAGTCCCCATCCGAGGGGACGACAATTGCCAACGCGACTGAATCGATTTGAGAGGACTTTCATGCCTCATTGCCACGCCATGGAATGATCACCCCAGAGTCGTCTCCATTTGATACATGGCTAAGCGAACCCGTCCCGGGGGCAAACAGACCTCTTGCACGGGAAGTACATAATCTAACCAGCATAAACTATGGTGTGGCAGACTGGTCTATTGAGGAAACGTTGACTTTCCTGAAAACCATCTGACATACCAAAGGACTACTGCCCCGATATTCTCATCACACCCACGCAGTAATTCGGAAGCATCGGTGGTCAAGCACACAGCCTGCGAGGATCACCTGCAGGTCACAGGTACGATAGACGTAACAACCGCAGTGTACACTCTAGTCTTACAAACCAAACTGATGTCACGTTAGCGCACGGTCAGGCAGTTGCAGTTTAGACAACACCGTAAGCTGTCTGACACCAGCCAAAATACTATGAAAGGTCTGGCAGTCATAATATCTCCCTCCTAAAAAAATAATGTGCGTGAAAACCACAAAAATCACATGACTATAATGAGGCTATTTTACCGATGAATGGGGTGTCTCGAGTAGCATTACCGCCACCACTAAGCGTATCAGCGCGAAAGCATCCTCAAAACCTTCATTGGCGTGTCCCATAAAAGCTCCCGTATTTTTCGTTTTGGAGTGACAGCAAACGCGAAACGTTCATACGATTACGCTTCAAGACAGTACTGAACTAAAATTGAGATGAAACTTAAAAAACACTGGAAAATGTACAAACTACTGACCAAGAGTGGAGGACTCCATTGTGTTCGGTTTCGGGGGAGGCTTCTCATCGGCTGTCAGATAAGCAGGGGGTCCAGCAGCAAAATAGCGCAACTCTGGTGCCAACTTAGCCAGGTTTTCTGCCGTGAGGTTACTGCGTGTGAGTCTCACAGCAGACTGACGTGCTTCCTCTTCTCCACTCGCCATATTGTTCGAACTACCGAAAACGGCAGTCACCTGCATAACATTGTTGTGCCCACCAAGGACAGCAGTACAACGAGGATGGGCTGAGGTGGTCGGCAGTGTTTTACCGTTAACTACATCGGCTTCATCCTCCTCAGGGGAGTGGGAGAGGTTAAATAGAAAGTTGTTGACTTGGACCTGGTCTAGTATCACGATGTCATCCGTTATTGAGGGTCCAGTGGTTCCGGAGGGAGTTGGCGCTAGGGTATTGGGGTCGACGAACGAATTCCCAATAAGTATTTTTGGGACTGCATCCGAAGAGCCGGAAACACGACTCCAATAAAGACGGGCATGCGCTTTGATTAGCAACGTCAAAATATTGTCCACGAGCACACTGTTATGGGGTGGGTAGAAGCGAAATGGGGATACAGAAGCAAGAATCCTAAGAGAAGCTTAAGAGAACATGCCATGCAACCGGGTTAATGTGCGTATGCAGTTCAGGAGCACTCACCAAAATTACTGCAAGCGAGCCACTATTGTCAAGACAAATTCAGTTACGGAGCTACTCCGAGCATAACAGAACCCGGATATCAATGTGCGATATAGCAACACAGGAAGTAAAACAAGTCCTCTCCATTTCCCACTGTGCCCTCAGTAAGTCGTGAAAGGTTTCACGTTAGTGGGTCTTCTGGATTCCAACATTAACAATCACAGCCCGGTTAAATCTGAGGTTCCGGATTAGTGATTGTTAGATTCCCCGTGGGAACCGATAGCTAGTTGAGATGCACAAAACCCACCACTCACGAGTTGACCGAATAAGCAATCAGCTGTTTGATACAATTCGGACCCCACAAATAAAAATTACTCGCTAAACGACCGCTGTTGTTGCTCACGTAGTTCTGAGTCAAGTGTGCAGACGCGAGTCAGCGAGTCGCCTTGTTCAACCCAATGAGCCTTAGTACATCGTCAACATCGTAGGCGACGACAATTGTGATGCTGACACTGTATTGAATGTTCACACCGAAATCTTCTGAAGAGAAGACAGCGAAGAAGTCTAGAACTCCAGCATAAAACAGTCATTCCGAGGGGCCTACATCTACCAATACTGGTTCAAACAATGTGGACAGAAACTGAAGACACCATTGATATCGTTCAATGTCCACATCTTGCAACAAACTCAGCCAGACGCAATCAGTCACGGAAATCCATCCTGGACAGAAGGCCGCAACGACACCACCTGAACTTCTCCAATCCTTCTTCCGATTCACAACATGCACATCTCACGTCTTTCAGGGAGGAGTAGAGGACAGCGTCTACCTAATCAGATAACAATGCGGTGCATGCTGTCAAGACAATGCAACTTACAGATGTTCTCCACAACTGATGCCACGCAATCAAGTCCCCGTTGGAGATCTGGCGAAGCAACTGTGCATCTGGCACTCACAGAGACAGCAAACGACCCAAAGAAACCTCTGGTCTTATCGTGAAAAGCTTAGATCTTACTGATGTACCATGGATAGTGTACCTCTTCAACCCACTGAGGTATACGGGGATGCTCTATTATGATACCAAAAGACCTTCGAAAACAACTGGTATAATGAGCGCAATTTCTAAGTCTTGTTGGTTGAGCGGTATGCTGGTATCAGGAACTTGCTTTGCCGCCAAGTCAGTGGGTCAACGGCTTTAGTTAAGGCTATGCGCCAAAAGGAAGCCACCATCGCATCGACTACGTCAGCAAAACGCTAAATTAACGTTATATATATATAGTATAGTATAGTATAAAGTATACTCGATAAAGTACGCTTGGAAAGAAACACGGACACTGGTGGAGTTTGAAAAAACAGTACGTGTGATGTACCTACCCAGAATTGTTGTCTGTGATCGATGATGAGACTGAGGGGATCACACTAATTACAGGTTCAACGTTTGGACTCCGTTTCAATTGAGTCGCAAGTACCGTCGGAGCCAGCGAGATATGCGGACTAGGAAACTGTTCGACAATCAACCAGCAACCCAAATTGTCCTGCAGGCTGCTCCGAGGAGGGTAAGGACACTTGAACAAACTGGGATCCCAACGTGGCAGGAAAGATTTTTTGGAAGTAGCTGTTGGCCGAAATGCAGAAGGTCCCTCTGACACCGATGTTGATGGGCTGCAAGATTCCTTCATTTCATCTCTGACCAATCGCATAAGCGCATCTAAGGCACTGTCATGTTCATCATCACTATCATAATCTGACGTTCGCATCGGCCCGGCCAAAACGTCAGAGATTTGATCATCATCGAGCATATCGTGCAACGAGTCTGCACATTCCATAAGCTCATCGTCCGCCTTAGCACGCATGTACTGGTCTGTTTGCTGCTCTGGCTGGTCCACCTGCATCAACTCAGGCCGAACCTATATGGGAGAAGTAAGATTATTTATACAACGTGACTGTTGCTTGATTGCATATCACGGCATAAGACAAGCAGTCGCTTTCGAGGAAAGCTTCTAGGTTGTTCAACTACCTAACAAGTATCAAAATCTCATGTCCATACATACCTGTATCATGCTACCTTGAATAAAGTCGGGCTTTTCGCAGAAACCTCCTATGGCACTGATGGAGACGACCTCCAAGGGCAAAACGTTCACTTTATGCGGTTACGTTCAGTCCATTCCAGTTTTTTATCGACATGGAGTGAATGGGTTGATAAAATAAACTCCAACAACATTCCCATACACTGATGCACATGTAGAGGCACTCCGTAATATAATTCATAAGTCGATACGGTCGGCAAGATGAATCTTGTCTTCATAAGTTGACTTCATATTCCTACGTCGGGCGAGATGGCTCAGTGGTTGGAGCGCGAATTTACCGACCGGAAGGTCTGCAGTTCGAATCCGACCTCTGTATCTCGACTTCTCCTGTCTAGGCTTCGGCAACCTGGCAGGATCCCAGCCCCTGAGCTTCCTTTGGGTGACATCGTAGCTGGGCACCGAATGGGTGTTGCAGCTGAACGATACTCCTAGGTGCCCCCTTGCAGCGTATCAACGAAACTAGATGGGATCCAAATCACTGGCTTTAAGGAACATTCAGTCGGCTTCTTTTCAGAACACTGATGTTTGCATTGCAGCACAACTTAACGCTTAGAAAATCCTATTCACCCTGGATAACTAGTTTGTCCTCTATTTGGGGGAGTCTACCTTCGTAGACCGGATAATTTGTTTTTGCTCATACGGAAGCATTCAATCTCCAAAGGCATTCCCATTTGTATTTGAAACCCTTGATACCCTAGCGGCAATTTTATGAAATGGTTCGATGTACGCCGTTCGTAATGCTTTGTGCATTACTTGAGATAGCTTAAACAATAAAGAAAACCACAGGGACCTAACACTGCCCGGAGGAATTCACTTACAGGGACAGAGCACTTTTGCCCTTTGAGGTCTCTCCGACAAGGTGTGTTGAGGGCACGGTCTAACAGGTGAATAATGAGGCCCAAACTTTCTTCCGTCACAAGTGGATCACCATAGACATACTGCAACAAGGGAAAGAACAAAGACAATTTCGAAACAGTCAACAACGAGAAAAGTGGCGGTGGTATTATAAATGACATATTCAAGCTCACAGGATCACGCAACACTAAACACGCAGCAGCAGCAATCGGTTCGTGCTATCATTGAGCTCCTTCATTCGGAAAATCACGTCCTCACGCTGCATAATGGATGTATATTATCTCACAGCAAACATATCAGGCAACTTTGTCAGTTGTTGAGGCGCTCCGTTCAACAAAACTGCATAACGTTTACTTCTTTAACCTTTCAAATATTTCTTAATTTATTAGGTGGCTTCCGTGAAAACAAAACATAGCCGTGGCGTCCTAAACTCGAATGAGGCTATGGCATGGAAGTGAATGGGAGCCAGATGTTGTTATGTTTGTCCATAAATGGCTAGGCGAAGATATCTTATGGCTGTAGTAAAGCCAAATCCACATATATGATTCAATCCAACACAAGGGCGGATTACAAAGACGTCTAGCAGAACAATGCCGAGGTAACCCCCGTCACCAAAAAATAGTACTTTGATCGGAAAGACTCCCGTCGTCAGGACCACAAATAGTAATTGCGGAGGTGAATTCACACGATAACCAGCTGTGAAACCAATGGTTGTAGTCAACAGGCCTTTCATAAACGCTGGTGATTGTCGAAAAAGCATACAATGTACAAAAGAAGAACGAGACCTGGTTATTGCTGTTCAAACAGCGAATAACCTACCTGCTGGACTGAAGGCTAAGACACTGGAGTGGAATCTCGCTCAACAACGCACAACTAGTAGAGAACTGCATGATCGAAATCAGGTCAAATATAAAGTCGAGTAAAATAGGCTAAGCCCTGATGACTGGGCCAGACGTGGGGAAAAGCTAACCCGAGAAAGATGTTGGCGCGACTGTTTCGCGCTAACCTGACTCCACTACCGTGCAAAATACAAACAGAATCGATCAACAAACCATCTAAAGATCAGAAGTTCAAGTCTACTAACGTCCACAAGAGCGTATTTTGGAGGCAGCTGATGGATAGGAACAAAACCTCAACGACAGTTCCTTTTAGATGAGTGCTCTTCATGTGACCCTTGAAAAGAGCTCAGGTTGATAGAGTGCAAAGAAGCGAATCTTCCTTTCAGCTTTCAGACGATAGACCGTGTGCCAGGGTGCGTTGGCTAAAACTGCTACAGTGGAACAGTCGATCGCTACAGGCAGTGGCATAACAAGATCATTAACATTGAGTGGATAAATAACATCGAAGGCCACAGGTTTTAATGCAACAATGCCACGGTCTGTGCGATCGATTGTCCACCAGTGTCACCAACATTCGAGAAAACGGCAATCGGCCGGTTTTGATGCCTCGTTGTCAAACCGTACGCTAACAACAGTACCGTGTATATGGCTGGACGGAAAGGACTTTGCGAACAAAACAGTTTCCCGACAAGCGAAGCATGCGCATTGGCCAGTGTAAATTATGGAGTCTGACCAATCTGTTTAGTTCAGGGAAATGATTTCTCTTGAAAATCACTTGAGGGATCTCGGTGCTGCTGGTTTGATGTTCCCACCAGGCTCGGATAGACACCAACAGTCAAACACTAGAGGACGCTTCTGCACCTCCACCACCTGTTGGTCATCTTTCTAATTCCCGGAAAAGTCTGATCCGTAAAGAACCGCAAACCTTACCCTTGACGGATGATCCGCTCATATGACGGCACCACAACTATAGGGAGGTAGTAGAAGCTGGAATTCCTCATTAGGCAAGTGAGTTCGTATTTCGCCAGTCCGAGATAGGTGAATTTATCTACCACATTCAATGCCTCATTTGAAAACACTAGATTTGGATTTGATACCACCTACGGTTGCAACAATACTCTGTACTTCACAGGTAAGACATACATGATTGTGCAGCTAAACTATTAGTCTATTGGAAGCAATTTGTATTTCAGGCACATCTGATTTAAAGAGGACAACATTATCAGCATACTCAATGTCTAATGGGAGAACAACCCAAAATTAGGCGAAAAAAAACTAAGAAACCGAACTGATTATGGTTCATCGTGGTTGATAAAGGGGTACCGGTGGTTTAAAACGATTACAGTAGACAGTGATGGAGAAAAGAGGCACTTTTCAGCTCACCAGACAAAGTTGGATGAAGAGGAGGAAATGCAGGTGTCTGCTGTGGAGTATGTGATCCAAACCCAAGAAATTAGGAGGTAGTGGTTTGGGCGTTCGATAGGGTGGCCAGAGGCTAGACGGGTTGGAGACTCCATGGCGCTGGCGACAGCTGAAAGTGAAAAACAACCCAATCATGAGATGATGGAACGGTATTTCTGTCACTTGCGAGATGCGCGGACTCCTGTTACCAAACTGTGAGACCAGCTTGTCCAGCCATTAAAAAATACCCTAACGACCGGACTGAAGAGATGTAGGGTGCCGATCATTCGTGTCGAAATCTTAATCACATACGCCGAACTATCTACATCTATACGTGGTGCGAGTAACAAGCCTACGACACGCTCCGATTTATATCGATTAGTGAAACATGAAACCTGGCCTACGAACGGAAGACAGGAAGAGGCATTCAAGGTTAACATCTAAGTGCACATGAATGGACGCAGTGGAGTCAGCGACGCTATGGTTCCACGCGACAACGATACACGCTTCTAAGATAAGCATCCGCGCAAAAAAGCACGTGCTACAACGATACAGACCTCTGGCTGGGGCTTTAACATGCCTCTGAAAAAATGGACAATATCCGGCGAGAAAAAAGGCGAAACAACAAATCATAAATGTGGTATACAGTTGAAATGGCACATAAATGCGACAGGTTAGTAAACAATCTGAAAGCCGGTGAGACTGGATGTGTTTCAAAACAAATAATGTGCCAACTGGAAAATTGATAGGGAGGGTGTTTATTAGTTAACGGGCGACCAGTAGGATGGTTTTGTGCGGTTGATGGAGAGGTACAGATTGACAGGCGGTGTTCGGCCGGTGGAGATCGACAGCGTATGTGGAGTTGGACTGGTGTAGACAGCATGCATAAAAATGCCAAACTCATAAGATTCACGGTCGTACGCAGGAATAGATGTTTGGGTGTGTAAAGAACCAAACATCAACTGGATTGCGTGTTCAGTATAATACATTTGATAGCTCTCCCTCACAGTTATACCTTCATCAGTTCCCTGTTATGGAACACTTAGCTGCGTTCGCATGTCTTCTGGAAGCAAATTCTTCTATGTGCGTTCTGCTGTTCAGTGTGCGGTGTTTCCAGCTACACCTTATCGAATACCTTATCTGAATACCTTCTTTGGGCGAACTATTTCTTTTCAACGAAGATTTCATCTTGTAAGTGAAGCCAATCGACACCGCAAAGCCGAGAGGCATTATACGGCCGTTTCACCATTACTTGGGATCATCAGCAGTGCACAGTTCGCGAAACTCAGGTGGGGGGGGGGCGTTCGAACCCCCGACCTTCCAGCGAGTACCTTAAACATCGTTCGGCCATGGAAATTTCGATTCTCTTTCCTCTTTTTATTAAAATTAGCTTGCCATTGTACGCTTGAAATGAGTGTTCTGCAGAAGCTGATCCCGATATAAATCCCAACTTGAGCGCATGCAGCTTTGGGATAATATTCAAGTCGCTTTAGTTACAGGTCCGTAGTTCTGTCCTGTGAGTTGGTTAGGACGATCGACCATTCGGCGTAACGCACTGCCTTACTACATTTACGACAACAACATTGCAGGCTGAAGATTGTTGTTGTTGTTTTTGTTGTCGTTTGGGGAAATCTACGGTTGTTTGCGGGCCCCCTACTCGACCCAGCTTGAGCTTCGGATTTTTTGTGGAGATTTCACCTGCATATATGGTACAGCAATTATCCCGACAGATTGCCTGAGACCTCGGACACAACACATTTACAGGTGAAAGTGAACATGTTGCCAATCCTGCCAGCGAGGTAACGGGCACTGCATAGCGTATATGACAGCCCAGGCTACGGTGTCTATCGGTCAACCACAAGATATCAGTAAACTTGATGACCAATCAGACGGGTATAGGTTGTAACGCATACGACGTCATACTTCGTTGTTCGTCTATTGCCCTATCTTGCTCATGCACGAGATGCATAGCCATGAAGCACAAATAGCTTTCCTTTGCTTTTCGAGCGTTACGACAGGCACTGAATGGCATGATAGCACAATGACATGACTGTTTTGTGCTCGGCATATCGAATTGGCAGTACAGAAGAATAGTACAATTATAATACCAAACCGAAACAGTCAGGCAGTCCATGTACAATATGTGCGTCCGCCACAGTGTGGCAACATTGTGAATGGAACATCGATTCAAAACAGGGCAATTATCCGGCGACAGGCCTCGGCTTTGATAGCACGATGATGCCAACACACACATGCAGTTTCCGTACTTGTGTTCAGTCCTACGCACCCAGATGACACTATATGTATTGCAGCAACGTACTAATAGGTGAAAATCACGCCACCACAATGCCGGTTAAGAGAGTATAGGACAACCGGAAGAGACAAGCGAAGAGACTGTACCCTATCGTGGTGCGAGGGAAGCATGTCTCAACAACCTAGCGAATTACATTGGAAGACGCCTATATAGCAAACAAAGTCTTTCCTTCCAGGTTAGTCAGTTGACAGAGGTCTGACAAACACTCTCTTGATTTTGCAGACTGGGGGTCGGAAAAAGGAATGACAACCTATACCTTAAAAGTTACACCCATGTAGTAGTCTTAAGCCTTTGAGCGGAAGGTCTTGACTGAAGGCTGTAATTGCTCCCACATCTAGGTTTGGGTGCCCTATAGTCGTCTACGGACGACTATAAATTATGCAAACAAATGTGCCTCCATAGCATGTCGACCACCGTGTGGTGGAAGTAGCCAGGTTGCCTTATTCTCTGCATAGAGGATAAGCGAGAGGAAATTTAACTGTTGACATTCCCATCGTTCTTTAGTACGGTGGTTGAAACAAGCACTTCGCATGCCCAAATACCACCTATCAAAGAAAGTAATGTTTTCAACTCCGATGTCTTGTTGGCTAAAAGCCCACAGGAGACAGATCATAACTTGGCAACGTCAGATGAGGGTGCTACTGTCAAACTGAATTCTGTGGCATTAACGCATCCTCCAAGTTTGCGTCCACGTGATTCCCCTTACGCGTTGTTAGAAAACCTACAGCACATAATACGTTAGCAGTCCCATCATGCCCAGCGAAAGTTCGTTCGTTGATATACGATATCCAGTACGGCTAGCAAAGCACATTAGGACAATTAAACTCAGTGTCTCGCTCCGATATGATGCTTAGATGCGTTTACTTCGCTGCTTCCCAAGATGCAGATAACTTGTTCTTGCTTAGGGAAATAAGGCTGTTTGTAGTACGTCCCTACCCATCTGCTTTTTTTCCATTCTTTACTAGGGTATTCTTTCTCACCACCAGTATCCATCACCGGTGTATTGTCGTCGATGACGACGATGGTGATGATGAAGAGACAAAAAGAGCATATAGGATCTGAGTATTTACTTGATCAGCCTCGATGCACCAAAACTAATTCCGTCGGCTACCAAGTAATGATAGTCACATTAAACAAACAAAACACAAGAGAACAGTCTGTCCCAAGCAAGTGCATATCATTTAGACCACTTACTGCTCTCGATACTTATCCATTGCGATCGAAGTTTCACGTCGGCTAGTAACCCGTAACGAATAGAAAATCGGGTCGAAATCGGTGTGCCAGAGGCTGGGGCGTAGGTAATAGTGACCACTGATAAGACTGCCCGAAGCCTCATCACAGGATGGACCGGAGTACGTTGCCACCTGAGAGTGGGAGAATACAATGGAATAGGCCGCACAAAAAGGAAAGCTGAAATCTAGCACGCTCCGGAAGCTTGACGTAGAAATGAAACCAGTCGCATGTGCTCTGAGCTGAGAACAGCCAAGGCACAGTGTCGGCTGGATTAAATTACATTTAACAGGTCGGGCTCACACTAAACATGAAGAAACCTGAAGGATATTTTTCTGGCTTGCAAAAGAGTCCGTAATTGGTCGTATATGTAAAACAGTGACACCATCCAAAACTACCAAGTGTCACGCCCTTCTGTTAATATAAATAGGACCGAAATGATATGGTATTATTCCGCGAATTTCCACCCATGTTTATCGTGAGATTGTAAATGGATGGAGAGACTAATCCGGATCAGTTGATTCTCTCGTGAAAACCAAATTGACTTGCAAATGAGTGTATTTGTCGCAATTTGGTGTGGGTTCAAGTAAAGGTTGACGGAAACTCGGGGACTGCGCCTACCTGGTGAGTCCCAGGAAGGGCGAAACCGGTCGTGGGCTGTCGAAGAGTTTTCAGCAACCTTGTAGTTAGTTTCCTTTATGAAAATAATCCGGATCATATTATTTGTCAGTTTTCCAAAATCAGCGCAACACTTCACCATACAAGGAATATTAAATTTGAGAATCCGCAAACGAAGAGGGGGAACAGACGAATGAACAGAACACAAAAACCAACTGGCTAACCTTCTTGAGCATCGCATCAATATTTTTGTTCGATCCGTTAATGCCACATCGTTCGGGAATCAGACTGGCCAAATCGCTTCGTTTGCGAGGCTCCGGTGTAAGTACACAGAGCAGCTCTTTCTTCACTAACTCGTCTTCTGTTAAACCTGTACATAAGAAAAAAACAGACAAACGGCACGTGTAAATTATCTGGCGAATAAGACTGCATCAGTGTATCCTTCTTCAAAAGTATATCAATATACACAACGTGTCCCACGTTGCCCCCTCAAGGGGTCTATCTGACGAGAAGCCAATCCCACAGAGGGCCCACATGAATTTTTCTTCAGCCATGACTTGGTATTTGATCCGTCATAAGCCCTCGTGAAAAAAAGAGGGCAGATAGCCCTTTTCCTATAGTAGGCTGTCTTGGAGGGAAGTACCATAACAAAAACGTCGTCAATGTAAACAGCAAAACCTCCACCTAAGTTATCTGCAACACCTTCACCACAAAGACCAGTCACGAGAAACAGTGGAAGTAGTCTCTGATGGGTCCGCTATGCAGACCAAACAAGTTTATAAATGCGTAGAAACTCTGACTGACGACCAACTCTACCAAAGTAATCAGTCGTGTTTTACGGTTTAGGGCGATTTTCTCTGCGTACTTTAGCTAGGTGAATAAATTTTGAAATAAGGAACACCGGGAAGAAATCTACGGGTGAATTTTTGGATCCGTTCCTCTAGCCTCTTTGGCCACAGGGTCAAAAGTGCACCTAATTTAAGCATCCTGATTCACAACTTCAGGTTCGGTGTACCGATGTATTAGGTTTGATTTATTACAAAGAATGTTACTGAACTGTCTTTAAATTACGCAGGCAGTTCTAGCACTTCGTTGTCTCAAGGTTAGGCAAAAACTTGGAGCTAAAATTAAATCCGTAGCACTGATGCTTCGAACGGGCTCACCATGCCCTCACCTATCCAACCGACCGGTGAACTGGTCAACATTCTACACCGACCTTGCTATTGGCCGTCAGTCAGTGACAGCAGTCGTACAAGGTGTTATTCGCCGCGACCAATCCGTACAAAACAGGAATTCACCGGAAAGTAAAGCATGGGATAGGCGTAATACATTATTTGTAAGGCTGCCGACAGCCCACAACCGGTTTCGCCCTTCTTGGGGCTCAGCAGGTGGGCGCAGTCCCCGAGTTTCCGTCAACCTTTACTTGAACCCACACCAAATTAGCAAAATATGCTCGTTTGCATACCCCAAAAAACAAATGGTAGCTGGATTTCAGGTGAGTCTCCCACAAAACCAAATTGGTTCGGGGTATGGTGGTTTCGGTCGTCACCGTCCCTGGCCTCCAATAAAGAAGACGGGACACAAGAAGCGATAAAATATCGAAGACGAAATAAAGAGAACAAATTTAGGAGGAAGTGAAGATTGGACGAATGCAACGGCATCACTGGTTCCGTGTTAAATCACATCAACTAGGGCCAACAGTTATCCGTCTGACGGGACCTTCGTTTCCGGCCCCGAAAGACGGCACGTAAAACGCGACAAGGACAATGAGCCATGTTTTTAACAATTCCTTGCCGTGTCATAGCCTGTCCACCTGTTGCTTCCCACCCAAATCCTGAAGGCTCGTGTAGGCAAACAGACTTTGGGCATGCGTAACACATGATCAAACCAGCGTAACTGATGTAATTCTATCGGACCTTCAATTGAGCGTTCAGTAGACAACTCGCCAAACACCACATAACGTATTTGGACACTGTATATGCAGTGCTCCCACCATTTCATGTTCAACACTGCATAGATATCGATGGTCGAAAGCAAGTATTTGTCGTTTATTTTCCGCCATACTTCAAACCCAGAAAACAGCATCAACTGTAACATTGCATACCGTTCCTTTCACTGACAGGTTGAGGACAGAACGGCGATTAATTTGAAGGAAGTCTGAACGAACTTTCATCTTCCTAGTACTCACTTCGTTTGCAAT